TTGGGTGTCCCCAAAAGGCCTGTGGATTTGGGCTATATAATTAGTAGGTAATATATAATAATAGTATTCAAATTGGTAAAATAATATAAAAGAATATTTAGGAAAATTCTTTTTTATTAAAAAAATAAAAAAACAATTCTTATAAAAATTCTTTATTATTATTGCAATATTCAATTAATTTAACAAGCAGGAATTTCTGAATCTAGACCCTTCCCCTCCCAGCAGTCGACACAGCGTCACACTCACATTTTTCAGCGGCCCAGCGAGGTAACAGCCTCCGCTCTACAGTCACTCCTTGCGGGCAAGGTCAGCGACCTCGATTCTCACGGCTCTCATGCTTGAGCTTCGCCCGCTTGCGAATACGCTCTTGCAGCGACGTGGGAGGGGGAGCACTCCGCTCCAGAGGTGCGCTCTCATGGTCAGAGACCTGGGCAATGGCCGTCAGAGCCTGAAGTACGTCCTGCGAGCCGGGGACAACAACAATGAAAAAAGACTCTGAAAATAAAAACGTGAAAACGTGGCAACACAGTATGTCGAATCCTCCTGGCTAATTGCCCTCCGCAGTGTACTTGAAGAAGCGGCTTCGGTAGCGGCAGGCACCCATGAGAACGAGACGAATATGCTCTGCAAGATCGCCAGCACAACTGGGAGGGCCATCGCATTGCCCGCGAGCTCTTGCAACAACACTTCCGTTGCGGTCCAGGCCTGAGGCCGCTTCACTGCTTCATACACTTCTAGCAGTGGGAGAACTGGATAACCTTGAGCAATCATGGCTTCGCATCCCAGCCACACACGGGATTCTTTCTCGCACCATAACAGCATTTTCGGCAGAATAGTCGGCAACACATGCAACCCTGTGGTTGGGTCCAGTGTGCTGCAATTTACTCTGCCCACTGCTTGAGAGACATCACGAAAAAGCAGTGATGGCGATTGGAGTTTCGCCAGCCGTAGGGCATCTTGCTCTCGCTCTGTAAGTGTCTGGTACCACACATTCTCTTTGAGATCTCGGGGCACGGCTTCGCCCCAGCGAACCTTGAGATTCCTCGCGAAGGCCAAGTGTGCATCCATCCAAGTCTGAGCGGCGGGTCCTGACTTTGCCTGGGTCTCCTTTCGCTTTTCCTGCTTATTCTGACGAAGTTCCAGGTCAGAGACCGTAAAAGGATGATCTCTGGGAAGGAAAATCTCCGTGCCGCAGCAAGAGCTGCGTACGCACCCTGACATAACGGCCCGTACGGTTGCAAACATAGATGAAATGGATCTCTCGCCGAACTCCAGGAGTGCCGAGCCCACTGCTTTCCTAGGTCTCATAAGGTTTAGGGTTTAGGGTTTAGGGTTTAGGGTTTAGGGTTTAGCTACCGCTGCCACTAACGCTACCACCATCCCTACCACTACTGCCACGGCCACTACCTCTACCACAACTGCTACTCCTACAGGCCTGCAGGCGAGACCAAGCATCAGGAAGACCACGTACACACGGCGCCTCCTAGCCGGCAGCCCGAACAACGCAGCATCGCTCATGATGACTTGGTGCTCGTATCCGCGGTTCCCCATTTCTGCGCGTAGAATATCGAGATTGCTGGTGGCCCCCCGATCGTCTATGGTATCGACGTTCTCGAAGATGACGATGCTGGGAGAGTGATGCTGCACATACTCCAGCATGCCACGGAAAGTCTGGGCCGACCCTCCCTTCCTAAGCATAACAGTTGGATGATTACCAAATAACAATAACTTAAATAACTATTCAAATAACTTTGAAATCACAAAGTTAACAAAACTAAAATGACAAAACAATCAGAATCAGTTACAACTGGACGGGCTTGCCGTTATAAACAGCTGAGTTTCGAGCTCTCGGTCCCGAGCACCGCTTCCTTTTGCTTGTGCTTGTTCGGGTTTGCCCGTGACATATCTTTGCAACTGGTCCCCAGAATCAAGATATCCACCTGAGGGATGGGGCAGTTGCCCACCGCCAACTGATCTCCGCGGGCACGGTCGGAGACCTTAGTCGAATCTCTTCCTGATGCCTTGGTGGTGGCTCGCTGCTTTCCATGAACGGCACAAGAAGCATGATCTCCGCCCAGCTGGCATATATCCATAAATATGCATGGGTCATCTTCTTCATCTTCATCTTGCGGACCTTCGTGCCGAGGCGATTCACTGCCTTGCCACTTCTTCTTGATCTTGTGCATACATTCTGTCGCGCAGGAATTGACCATAGAAATCCACTGGATCTTCTCCTTGTTGCTTTCGCAGCTGAAAACATGCCTGAATCGAAGATGCTGTCCCATCTCACCTGCAATGATACGTAATGCTTCAAAGCAAAACTTTACCCCCTCCGAACCACTACAGCAAGACGCCCAGGTCAGAGACCGCGATGGCCAAATTGAGCGACCTGTCATGTCTGCTGCAACATGGGTATTCTCCTGCGCTGCTTGCAACAACCAAGTACCATCATGCAAGGCTTCTGATCGCAGGAGTCGGGAGCGACCTTTTTCCATCCAAGATTCTAGTTCGAGAGGATCCACCGTAGCATGCCTTCTCAATTGTCGAGCCATGCCACGTCAGTGAGTCAATGAGCCCCAGGGCCCAGGGCAGCCCAATTGGCCAATTGTTATACAATCCGACCCAAACTCGTAAGAATATTTTAAATTGAAATTGACCTGTGATTAAATTGAAATTGACCTAAAATTGACAACTGAGTTCTGAGTCTGAGACTGAAGCTGAAACGGAAGCCAAACAGTAAAGCAGCTGAGTACATGATCGCATCAAGAAAGCCATGCAAACACATCGACTCCACTCGCCGCACGATTTCTGTTACGCCGCGACTGCCCGTCGGAGACGGTGAATCTCTGAATCCGAACGCTTGGGATCAGCCTCTATGGCCGCTCAAGCTTTCCGCACATGACACGGGTGACACGGGTCCTAAGTGACCCCAAATCAAAATCAAAATTGAAATTGAAAGCCCTATCGGCGGCATGATTCAATCGATGATTGGAATCTCCAGCCATACCCCAGGCCAGAGGCCGCCTCGGATCACTTGGAGTTCCGTTGGGCCATTATCTTCGCCAGTCCCATGCCGCTCCCCTGGTCCTTCCTACCGGTCTTGCCTTTGCCCTTGCCCTTACGTTTGGGAGCGGTTTCTGCTTCTGGCGCTGGTGGGGATGGGACACCACGGCCGCGGCCACGACCACGGCCGCCACGAGCCGAGATAACAGCAGGGCCCTCAAGCTGCGAGGACGCTGACGGATCATCTACTTCTTTCGGCTGCTCCTTCTTTGCACGCTTCTGCTCTTTGGGATTCTTGACCTCGCCGGTTGGATCATTCTTGTCGTTCTTCTCTTTCTTGGCTTTCTTGTCTTTCTTGTCCTGATCCTTTTCCTGTTCCTGCTTATCCTTTCCCCCTTTTTTTCCCTTCTTCTCCTTCTTCTCCTTCTTTTCCTTCTTGTCCTTCTTTTCCTTCTTTTCCTTCTTTTCCTTCTTGTCCTTCTTTTGTTTCTTGTCCTTCTTATCCTTCTTCAACTCTGCCTTTTTTGTCTTTTCTTTCTTAGCCTTCTTGTCCTTGTCTTTGTTGTCTTTCGTGGCAGTCGTACTGCCGGGCTCCTCTGACGTCTTTTCCTCCTTCACGCTCTTGAACTTCGTTACCCTCACCGTAAAATGGCTGGAAGAGGAGGAGCTGGAATCGACATCCTCGTTCTGGGTTTGGTCCGCTTGCTTCTCTGCTGCTCTTGCCTGCGAAACTGGGGCGGGGGGGTCGACTGACTTGTCGACTGCGGATTCGGGCTTGAGAGACTCCTCAAGTTCGTCGATCAACTTGGATTCGGTTGAGGGCGATAGCGGAGCGGGCACATGTGAAACCACAGCTTCAAATGATCCTCTCTCATTGTTCTCGTCGGGTCGATCCGGGGTCGGGTGCTCCTGGGGCGCTTTGGCTGCTTGGTGGGGTGCTTGGGATGTTTGGTCCGAGACCTTGGCCTTGTCAGGTTGGGTTTCCTGGCCTTTCGGTGGAGTTTTTTTCCTGGCTCGTCGTTCGGGCTGTGCTGCACGACCTCGAACGGCCTCTTCTTCACTCGCTTGAAGCCGTTTCCGTGTCGTTTCAGCGACACTGGCCTTGCACTTCTCCCACAGGCTTGCGACATCCACTGAGCATTTTCCCAGAGTCTTTATGACCTAGAAACAGGAAGTTGCTATTGAAATGAATTTCTACATAGGGTCTAAGTGTCTAAGTTAGTCTAATCTAGGGACTTAAGTTCTCTGGCGGGGCCCACTCTGGTTTTAGCATTAATTGAGGGTTATCGGACAGCTTGAGTTAAGTGAAGTGGTTACCCGAAGCAATCATTCCCTAGAAGTCTAAGCCCTCAAACCCTGGTTATAAATCGCGAATCTAAGTCTAAGTCTGAGATAAGAGTCCAATCTAAATCTTTAGTGGCAACTCAGAATTTCAGAAGCTCAGGCCGCGACAGCTTCTGAACACTCTTGGCACAACTTCTTTGCCGACTCCATGGGCAACTTGCTGTGCTCTGGGGTGACACACAAATCCTTCTCGAGAAGTGTGCGTAGCAGATCCTGCAAATTCTTGGCCAATTTCTTTCCACTATCGGACTTACTGCCCATGACCGGCGCCCGAAGGACAGTCACCATGGCATAAATGGTCAGATGAGTCACAAGGCAATTTCCGAGGCCTTGTGCGTTCATGGCCATGGAATGCCATTGTATCAGATTTTCTGCCAGGCCAGAGGCCGCACCAACCCCAATCGCTGAGCTGGAACGAACCTTTTGCAGAACCTCGTGAGCTTTCAAGACTTCTTGAGAAGCTTTCCGCAAGTGGCTGCCAGAAGATCCAAAAGCCTCATGGAGCATGGCCATTGCCTTCCTATATTCCTCCTCCGTTGCGGTAGCGAAGTTGGGAATCTTAAAGAGCAGCTCATCTCCTCTAGCTTGCAACTTCTTGAGCTGTTCTTGCTGCTCATGACCTTTCTGCATGATTCTCTCGGTGATCTTCTCTCCGATCTCAAACACCCAAGACTCGAACTCAGGAGATGCCAGCTTTGTGGCCGCCATCTTGCCAAGTGGATCTAATTCCCACTCTTTCTGGTACCGCTGCGCTGCAGATTGCACATTGGACAAGCATGTGCGTTGAGACTCTAAAGCAGTCAGAAGATCTCCCAAGGTTGCTTCCTTCCTCACTGCCGTCACAGTCTCGGATGCAACCTGCTATATATAATCTGAGCATAGCAGTTATTCTATTTTATTCTTGTATTTTGGATTCAGATTCAGGACTTCGAGACTACAGAAGAAGAATAAGCAACAAAACGAATCAAACGATCCATTGGTCTTGAAAACTTGTAACTTGTAACCTCACCAATATAGTAAATACTGAAATAATTATAATAAACCCTAAAAACAAAAAAAAAGCTGAAATAACCAAAACTACCACTGCAATCAACTTCCAGCCTTGATGAAGGAGGGCAGCACGAGATTCCACAACCCATTCTTTCCAAGTGCTGCATTGTGTTTGACCTCGGCCAATTGTCCTGCGATAGAATCCAGGTCCGAGACCGCAGACATGCAGTTCGAAATCATTCGACCAACATCCTGGAATGCAGTCATGGCCCTGGCATCGAGGTCTTTCGCAGCGACTTTGACAAAAAACTCTTTGAATCCTTCAAGAATAGCCCCGTCTTCTACAAACGCACAAACAAGCACATCGCACGTGGTCCATTCATGCAGGAGATCAGATGTCGGATCCTTGACACGAGTAGTCCCTATCTTGTTCTTGGCGAAGACATATCGGGTAAGTGCCTGGATGGTGTCACAAGCCTTGCCATAAGAATCGAAAAGCTGGGTCAAGGACTGGGGCAACTTCTTGAAGCCAACATCTTTGGTCCAGAACTCATGATGTATGACTTCCGTGCACGCCATTGTCTGCAACGTCTCGTCCAAGTCAAACTCCTGGATTTCCTCTTGCGTGACATCAGTGCCTTCCAGCCTACGCAGCAATTCTTCAACGCATGAGGCCATGGTGCTCGACGCGATATTCTGCACTCCGGAGATGAGGCAATTCCAGAAATCGTTTACGAGACTCTGGATTCTCAACCTGTGTTTATGCAGCATCTTATTTTCTGGCTTCGTAATTTTTAACTTCCAGAAATGAGCGACCACATCAGAGATGGCATGTCCTGTCAGTTCGCCCTGGCACTCCCTCACATCCTGAAGGGCCGCTTCCAGGTTGGACACATGAAGCTCTTCCTGGAGCTGGGCTTGTCCGGCATCCACCTGGGCCTTACAAGTTGGTTTAGACTCGGGCTAGGGAGCCAAGGGGGCTAAGGATTTAGGGCCAGGGCTTAAGAGCTAAGTGTTCTCTTACTGTGGCTACAGTCTCAATAAGTTTAGAAGCCTTGCCTCGCACTTGGAGATGATCTGCATGCCGATCTTGTGTTTCTGGAGGAATTGGAGAACCCCGTCCTCCAAGATCTCTTCCTCTGCCATGTTTCCAAACCTCTCCAAGGCACTAGCCATTGCCGAGATATCATCTGCGAGCAGGTCGCGGATGACCTCACACGTGAATATGACATTCTCGAATAGGCTGTTGCTCTTCTGGGCACATACCTCCGAAGCCAGATTCTTGGCCTGGGTCCGACCCCAAGATCCTTCTTTCAATACTTCTTCCTTCCCTAGAAAGGTCGTCATCCGACTTTCTACGTCCGCATGCACAAACTCGCTGACCTTGTCCGACATCCCCATGTCCTTCAAAAGACGAACCTAGGATGAAAAGGGGCCAGGAAACATTATAATATTGTCTTACCATCACTAAATATGGTCTGGGACGGTTGCCATGTTCTATGAGAGATATCTATATATAGTCGGTCGACAAGGCAATCAAGTTGATAATGAATGGGCCAATAAATAAGACAATGATTCTCAATGGTCAGCATCATTATCATATCTACGAATCTACGAACCACCTGGCATCTCAAATCCAAGATATGTAAATGCGCCAAAAGGCCTCCTTGCTGTCCTCGGCGAGGACACCGACGTACTCCGCGAGATTCTTGAACAGGATCTTCTCGTTCAGCTTGGTCTCCAAGAGCTTGAACAAGAAGCAAGATCCAACACGCACGAGCCCGGCCTCCTTCAAAGTGTCGTAGGCATCCTCAATGATTTTGGGACCGGTGGTGCTCGACGCCAAGGCTGTATTCATCTCCACAGCGGTTTGGACGAGCGACTTCAAAGACTCAAAGCCCTCAATCTCCGCCTCAAAAGAATTCTTGTTTGGACTGTTCTCAACACGACGCAAGGAGTTCTGGATGGAGTTTGCCACCCCGGTCAAAGACCGATGCCGGGCGGCATGCGCTTTCTTGTCCAAAAAGTTATAGTCATCTCCAAAGCCGGTCAAACCCTCAAATTTCAACTTGAGTTCCATCAACTCCTTCTTGAGGCTGTCCTTCAATCTCATACCACGGCCATCCAAGTTCAACATCTTTGGCGAATCGGCTGGACCATCTTCAAAACTCCCCTTCTTTGCTGGCTGGCTCGAGACGGCTGCCTGAGGCGATTGTGATGGTGCCGGTGCCGCTTGCGGCATCGAAGTCGCCGGTCTGGTCACTCCTCCGGTCTTCGCGGCCGAGGCTTTGGGGGCAGGTTTCGCTTGCGCTTTCGCCTTGGCTTGTTGTTTCTTTCCTGCCAAACTTTGCACACGTGCTTGTGCTTTGCCCTCGTCCTCACTTTGCGAACTGGACGACTCATCCTCCACTTCGGGATCTGACTCGCCTGAACCATCTTGTGCCTCTTTCTGTGCAGCTGTCGCCAGGCCGGAGGCCGCTGATGCGTTTGCTCCAAGACCGGCGCTTTGCAACATGGACATGATGGCCTCTGAATCCAAAGATTTCGGAACTGCTTCCACGGCCTTGGACACACGTTCCTGATGAGTCTCATCAAACGCGGCTTGGATGGCCCCTCGCTTATTGGCGAGGGCCTGCTCACCGAACATGCCTTTCGCATCCCGCTTGGAGTGTTCTTCCGTTTCCAGCTTTGCCCCTCTCGACTCAAAATTTCTGACATCATAACGACCCTTTTTTCCCTTCATCTTGAAAACTCCTCTGAGCGTTTTGCCGTTGATGACCTGAAACACAATTTAACCTAGACCCATAGACCCTAAAAACCTGTTCTATTGAAGTGTAGTGTGCAGTAGATCCCCAACCGAAAGAATAATTAATAATCAAACTTTCAACCACCTTGAAAGAACAGAAGTAACCAAATTACAAACGACAATCCTGCCTCGTCGACGATTTTGGACTCATCCAGAACGCCGTCCTCCTTGACANNGGGCCCTCAAACTTCACGCCCTGTTTGTTGACCGTCTTCAAAGTTGAGATTGTCTTCAGATCCTCTTTGTCGCGCTTCTTAGTGCGACACCCTGCACTGCCGCTTTTTTTCATCTTTTTTATATACTCTTCACGACTCTTCAAGAATTCGTCATGGTCCACTTGTTTGGCTTCTACTTTTTTGAGATATTCTGCAGGAGAGCCATATTTCAGGGGAAACCCGAGCAAACGATAGACGTTTCTACATATGCCATCCGCATTGCCTACTGGCACCCGAGCCACGCCAGAGGCGGTCTGTACCTTTCTGTACTTTGCCCACGGGATGCACGGGTCCTCCCCTTCAATGCTCGCTGCATCGGAGGAGGCAGCGGTCGCAATTGGATTCAAGTCATTGCTTTTGCTTCCACAGAGTCCACATTTGCAAGGTTTCTTGGAGTGCTGTATGGGTATTCCATCGTCGCAAGCAACCGATGTCTTAGAACGGGCGGTGTCGACTTCAAACAGGGATTCCCCTTCCAATACGTCCGGGCCAGCTGGGCCAGCGGTCTCCTGTCCATCTCAATTCTCAACCAGCAATCATCAATCTGTCAATCAACAATCATCAAGTTGACCATAACTACACAAATGGCCCCGGCCGACACCAAGAATCTACTAATCTAAGGTCTACAAGGGTTTTAAGGTTTACGGTTTTCGGGGGGTTTGGGTTTAGGTGTTTTAGGCTTTATGGCTCAGGCTCAGGGCTTAGGTAA